TTGCCGTGACTTTGTAGCGCCGCAGCCGCCCTGGCCAGCGCTGCCCGCCGCCCTTCCGTGTCTGTCAGGGAGGCGCAGCTTTGCGCCCGCTCAGGTGTCCCCTAGCCTGGGGGTCAGTCTCTCCGCTGCCGGCCGCCGCTGTGACTCCGCTGCGGTGGACGCGTCCCCCAAGCACGGCTGCTGTGGGAGCCGAGCGGCGCCCTCGGGAGCATCAGGCCCGCTTTCCTGCAGGTGGTGACCAGCTCGCCCAGCCCCTGACCGCGCCCCAAGGAGATTTTCCTGTGTGATTGTCTCGGTGCCCTTGTTGACATGGACTGTAAGCTGAGGTGCTCGAAGCTCTCCGTTCTGTTCCATGGCTGTCTTGATCACCGGGGGTTGTAGTGGGTCTTGGGGCCAGAAGGCGGGAGTCCGACTTCGGGATGGCCGCCGGGGCTTGCTCCCCTCAGCTGGAGCCTCCTTGGCTCATCTGGATTTCCGCAGAGAAGGCAGGGCCCCATCGCACCTGTAGGCAGTGGGGAGAGCATCGCGTTCCGTCTGCATCAGGTTCTTGGGTCTGAGCGCCTGTGTTTCTCCATTTATTTAGACTGTCTAATTATTTTATTTTGTGTATATATTTTACGTCACCCTTCATTTTTGCACAGTGTGTGCTTCCTCCTCTCGGGCATTGTCCCCTCCCCATCACCACAGGCCCCTGTGCGCTTACCACCCTTTTTTTTAAAGAGTTATTTATTTATGCTTACAGAATTTATGCATACTGGGGTGTAGGCCAATGGTGCAGGATGGTGAGAGGCTTCATCAGAGACAGAGCGGGGAGCAGGACAGGCAGGTAGATGAAGTCCACTGCTGAGGGGAGCAGCTGGTGGTCAGGAGAGGTCTGCCGCGCCCTGGGGGTCACTCCCTGGCCAGGGATAGAACTCTGGCTGCAGTGGTTGGGCCGTGGACAGCTACCCAGTGCTGAGACTTAACCCCTTGTATCAGCGGGGAGGGCTCTTCCACCCCTGTTCTGATCCTCTCCTTTCACCCCTGCAGAATGTCTCTGATCTATAGTTGCCTGTTAGGACCCTGAATTCTTGCAGAAGCCAAGGGAAGAATGGGAAGATGTCCCTTTGTTCCTTTCTGTTTTGTTGACCTAAGTCCCCACTCTGGTTCTCTTCACTTTTGGGGGAAAAAAAAGACTTATATATTTGTGCACACAGAACTGGGGTACAGGCCAGGAGTACAGGGGCAGTGAGAGGCTTCACCAGAGACAGTGGGGAGCAGAACAGGCCGAGTGATGAAGTCCACTGCTGAGGGGAGCAGCGGGCGGTCAGGAGGGGTCTGCTGCGCCCTGGGGGTCACCCCCCGGGCGGGGATCGAACTCGCACTGAGGCGGCCACAGCCAGCCTGCAGTGCTGCGCTCCAACCCGCTATGCCACCAGGCAGGGCGATGTCTCCACGTTCTTCTGTGGACACCGTCTGGTGACATTTCCTAGAGCCGCAGTCCCCACACCTCCTTTGTGCAGGTGTCAGCTGGTTGCCTCCTTGTGGCATACGTGTTGCTTCGCACACCTGTTCCTCAGCCAGGTGGGAGCCGAGCGCGGCTTGTGCCGGCCGCCCCTCGCGCTTCCCTGTCCTGGCGCTGTCTGCAGACGGACCAAGCCCCTACGAGCAGGGCTCCCGGGGTGAAGCCTGATGTCTAAGTTTATCTGGGAACGCACTTTGCTTGAACTTTCGAAAGATGACTGGAGCAGGGTGACGGGCCCCTCCCGCTGCCCTCTGGCCTCCCTGGGCCCGACGAGCGTCCTCTTAGCCCGCCGCCGGCCGAGTCCTTTTTCTGCCGTGCTCCCCAGATGCTTGGCTTTCACACCTCTGTGCTGAGGGGGTTGGGCCTTCGCACTGAGCCCGTCGGGGCTCAGGAGCTTCGCGGCTGTGTCCTTGCCGGCCAGGGAAGCCGCGGCGCACTGCTGGCCCCTGTGCTGGTCTGCGCGGCCCTGCGCAGCCTCAGGCGCCGCCCCTCTGGGACTCGCGTCCCCTCTTCATTCTCCATCTGCAGATTCGCTAACTCTTTCCTACTATTTCACCCTGTCACTCCATTTTTATTTCACATATTGCGCTTTTCAGCCGCACAGCAACGGCCTCCGGCCGAGCCTCCCGCTGCCAGCGCCTCTCGGGGATGCTCCAGCAGCTGCCCTCTTCCCCGTCCCCTTCCGCGCCCCGTCCGTGGCTCTGCGGCTCCCGCGTGGGTTACTCCCGTGTCTGCATACACGGCTCAACACTTTGTGGAGAAAACGAGGCTTTTTAGCTGACACGGAGCGGTCGCAGCTACAGGCTCCGCCCCGCCGCCCGTGCAGTGACCGGCCCCCTCCCCCGGCGCCCCCGCGGGGAGCCTCTGTTGTCGCTTTTTGGGGGTCCTGTGCACCGCCGGCCCCCTTCCGGGCTTTCTCGCACAGCCCTTGCCTGGCTCCTCCAGTCGTCAGCTGATGGCGCGACTGTTTCCGACCAGCGACGGGGCGGCAGATGCTCCTGGGAGAAGTCGCGGCACGTCTGGCTTCCCTGGCGTGCGTGGTCTTTGGGCCAAGCGTTGGAAGTTTGTTCCCCCACAGAGAGGCAAGTCTTGGCTTCCCCGGGCCCTGGCGGCTCGTGGCCTGTGGCTTAGCTGGACGCTGGCTGGTGGAGGCTACAGCCCTCCTCACTGCTGACACAGAACCGCCACAATCCTGCCCTCAGGCCGGAACTGCCCACTTCGTTTCCCACAAGCCAGCTTCCCCGCCCCGCCCTGCTGGCCTCTGGCCGTCTGCCCCGAGGAGCCCCCTTCCTCGAGTGAGCTGGGGTGGGTGACGCAGCTCCAGGAACCGCAGGCCTTTCCCTGGAGAGGGCTGACAGGGATGTGGCCTGTGTGGCCCCGACAGTCCCGGGAGGGGCTGCCACCCGGGTCCAGCAGCGCATGAGGAGGTGGGGGCCGCGCAGCAGCCTGGCTCCGGACCCTGCTGGCCTCGGCCCCGCCTCTCGCCGGCCGTGCCCTGACCGTGCCCTGACCTCTGCGGTTCCCCTGCGGGCGAGCAGGCGCCTGACTCGCCTTCTGTTCTCCCTCCAGGCAGCTGCTTCATGTTTACAGCCGCCCTGCGCGTGGCGTGGACGTGGCACTCTCCTGCAGCCTCCTGGGGCCCCCGGCCAGGCGCTCGGTGTGGTCTGGCCCTGCCCCTCAGGGCATCCTGCACTGGCCATGCCTGTGCCCACAGAGGGCACCCCGCCGCCCTTGAGTGGCACCCCTGTCCCTGTCCCTGCCTACTTCCGCCACGCTGAACCTGGCTTCTCCCTCAAGAGGCCTGGGGGGCTCAGCCGGAGTCTCCCGCCACGGCCCCCTGCCAAGGGCAGCGTCTCTGTCAGCCGCCTGTGCCCCCCACGGGCCCCCCACTGGCACCAGCCCTGGCCGCGGAGGGTGTCCTTCCTGGGCGAGGCCCCTGACACCCTGCAGGGCCCCAGCTACGACCCCAGCCGGCCCGAGTCCTTCTTCCAGCAGAGCTTCCAGAGGCTCAGCCGCCTGGGCCGCGGCTCCTACGGGGAGGTGTTCAAGGTGAGCGGGGTGCACTCTGGGCCGGTGGGGCCCCGGGCCCCCACTCCCCAACAGGCAGCCCAGGCCCCTGCTGCCCGCCCTGGTGGCCGGACTGGCGGGGGTGCCCCCCGTGCCCCCGCCCAAGGCGCTCGGGCGCGCACCCCACCTTCGTTCTTTCTTCAAATACATTCCCAGTCCTTGCGGCCCTCTACAGGGTCTCTCCTACGCAAACTGCAGCCGTGTAGCAGAAGTACCCCGGAGCCGGCGCTCCTCCTGCGCTGCCCTGGGCCGGCTGCCCTCCCGGCCGGCGGTGGAGGACCCAGGGGCTCAGGCGGGCGGCTGGATCATGCTGCCTTTATTGTTCAGCGCTTCAGGGACGGAGCCGGGGCGCTGGGGCGGGGCTGCGCTGCGGGGCGCGGCCTCAAGAGGACCGCCTGGGCCCTGGCCAGCGCTGAGGGCCGCGCCTCCCCGACGCCCCTCTCCTCAGGTGCGCTCCAGGGAGGACGGCCGGCTGTACGCGGTGAAGCGCTCCGTGTCGCCTTTCCGGGGCCCCAAGGACCGGGCCCGCAGGCTGGCGGAGGTGGGCGGCCACGAGAAGGTGGGCCGGCACCCGCACTGCGTGCGGCTGGAGCGCGCCTGGGAGGAGGGCGGCGTCCTGTACCTGCAGACCGAGCTGTGCGGGCCCAGCCTGCAGCAGCACTGCGAGGCCCGGGGCGCCGGCCTCCCCGAGGCGCAGGTCTGGGGCTACCTGCGGGACTCCCTGCTGGCGCTGGCCCACCTGCACAGCCAGGGCCTGGTCCACCTGGACGTCAAGCCCGCCAACATCTTCCTGGGGCCCCGGGGCCGCTGCAAGCTGGGCGACTTTGGGCTGCTGGTGGAGCTGGGCTCGTGCGGCGCGGGCGAGGCCCAGGAGGGGGACCCACGGTACATGGCCCCCGAGCTGCTGCAGGGCTCCTACGGGACGGCGGCCGATGTGTTCAGGTGAGGGCGGCGGGAGCCCGGGGCTCGCCGAGGGGGCGAGCTGCCCCAGCCCGTACTGGCCCGGCGCCTCCTGTCGGCACTGTGTCCCGCATGCAGGCGGACACAGCTTACAGGAGTGGCCCCCAGTCCACGGCCAGCAGGTGGCAGAGCTGACCCAGACCTGGGGGCAGGTCCGCCACTGCACCCACAGGCCACTGAGGCCTAATCACCACGGGCTGGGCGGTGGCGTGCCAGGCACCACCCTGGCCAGTGAGTGGCTGGACATGGGGTCCACACACATTGATGTCATCCCCTCACTGGCCTGGCCGGGGCCCCGGGGCCCCGTCGCCTCCTCCCCGGCTATGGCAGCAGCAGGCACGCTCTCCTAGCCCTCGGGCAGCCTGGCACGCTGGGGCTGGAGCCCCGAGCCAGCGTGCCCTCTCCTGCACACCCCCAGCCTGGGCCTCACCATCTTGGAGGTGGCCTGCAACATGGAGCTACCGCACGGCGGGGAGGGCTGGCAGCAGCTGCGCCGGGGCTACCTGCCCCCCGAGTTCACGGCCGGTGAGTGGGGCGGGGCAGAGCAGGGCTGGGCGCGGCGGGCTGAGGCCGCACCCTGACGCGGCCCCGCCCGTGCGCAGGCCTGTCTCCTGAGCTGCGCGCTGTCCTCGTCATGATGCTGGAGCCCGACCCCGAGTTGCGGGCCACGGCCGAGGCCCTGCTGGCCTTGCCCACGCTCCAGCAGCCGTGGCCCTGGGGTGTCCTACGATGCCTGGCGGCCGAGGCCCTGCATCGAGGGTGGGCGCTGTGGCAGGTGAGCCAGCAACGGGCACAGGCGGCCTCCCCGGCCCCCAGGCTCCCCAGCTTCCACGGCCCCTCTCCTGCAGGCCCTGCTGGCCCTGCTGTGCTG